TACTGCCTCTGAAAACCCCCTGGAGGGTCATCAATGGGTCAGTTAGAATTCAATGGCAAACAACAAACAAGCCAAGGGCACTGGTCATGGAGGTTTTAAGCAGGAGAGTGTCCAGGTGGGTTTGGACTTCATTTAGTATGACTTTGCTGGTTGTTGAGTATGTATGAAAGGAAGAAGCAGCAACAGAAGAAGATGAGGAGCACAGATGATAGGAAAACACTGACCAGCCACAACACAGAAGACTCGGGAAAACATCAAGCTGAGGAAAATGTCGGTCACAAAAAAGGCAAATATGATCTCACTACGTAGAAGAAGCAAGTATTTAAAAACCCCTAATTATTAATGGTCACCAGGGATGGGAGTGAGGAGAGAAAGAAGAGGTTTTGTTTGAGGGAACTGAGGTGGTAGCATATTTTGGAAAGAGATAGTGATAAGAGGACACAAATGTAGTCAGTGTCAGTTAATTGTAAATGTGCAAGTTGTAATGACATATGTTCTGAGTTTGTTACAGATAGTTTTCCAATTTTGACAAAACCATTTGTTTAAAAGGCTGTCATTTTTCAACTTATTTCATCTCCTTGTCAAAAATCAGTTGGCCATCTGTAGACGAGCTGATTTCTGGGTTCTCGATTCTATTCCATTGATCTATGTGTTTGTCGATGTATCAGTACCACACTGTCTTAACCACCACTGCTGTGTAACAGGATTTGAAATCACAAAATGTAATGCCTCCAACCTTGTTTCTCTCTTTCAGAAGTACTTGACATAATTCTTAGCTATAAGAGAGATGCAAATAAAAACAACTATGAGATATCATCTCACTTCAGCAACAGTAGCAAAATTCAACAGAGCCACAAACAAAAAATGCTGCAATGGCAATATTAGAATCCTTATTTACTGCTGGTGAAAGTGTATAATGGTACAACCACTGTGGAAGGCAGCCTGGCACTTTCTCAAAAAGCTAGAAATAGAAATACCATTTGACTCAGCAATTGCACTACTGGGAATACACCCTAAAGAAACCTTCACAACGGCAAAGAGATGGAAGTAACTCAAGTGTCCAACGACAAACAAATGGATAGAAACTATGGTATATTCACACACACAATGGAATACTACACAGCACTGAAACAAATGAACTTGTAAAACATTACATAATATGGATGACCCTGCAGGACATTATGCTGAGTGAAAAAACTCAGTCACAAAAGGACAGATACTGCATAATGCAATAGTCCTGCTTTAAAAGCAGGACTGACATGGAGGGGTTTAGAAGAGAATAGGAAAAGAGTGAATAGATAATGAACACTGCATTGGAACAGATGAAGGAAAGAACTGTTTAAAAGGAATACATGATTAGGCAGTATATGTAAGACAACAGTCCAGAATAAGAGGGGGATTGCAAAGATGACTGGGGAAGGGGAAGAAGAAGGGGGAAGAGAGGAAATTGTGCAACAATGAATAAATACTAAAGAAAAAGAAAGTGAACTGGGGGAGGGAGAAGGGAGAAAAAGGGAGGAAAATGTGCAGCAATGAATGAATGAAAATCCAACTTTTCTGTAAACTTTTGTTAAAATCACAATTGAAATAATTTTTTTATTATTCTTTTAAAAAATAACTTCTCCATTGGGTTTTTGAGGCTGTAAATCTGCATGGAATGAGACCACTCACTTTCTCCTTCAGGGCAGCTGATTGATTTGAACTGCTGACCTTTCAGTTAGCAACCTGATCCTTTTAGTGCTAAGACATCAGGGCTTCTTATATGCATACATATTATTGTTAGGTGCTGCCAAGTGGGCTATGATTCAAAGTGACTCTAGGAACAACAGATCTGAACCTTGTACCATCCTCACCAATCTCTGATATGCTCAGACCCATTGTTACAGTCACTGTGTCAGTCCATCTTGTTGAGAGTCTTCCTCTTTCTCTGGCCCTCCACTTTTCCCGGCATGAGGTCTTTTTCCAAGAACTTGCCCCTCCTAACATGCCCAAATTATGTGAGACAGTTTCATCACACCTCTTAAGAGCTACCTTGCTTACACTTCCTCTAAAATAGATTTTTTTGTTGTTTTTCTTTTGGCAGCCTCTGGGATATTCAGTCTCTTTGTCAACACCACAATTCAAAGGCATCGATCCTTATTCACTGTCCAACTTTCAGACGCTTATAACACCATGGTTTAAAAAAAATATCGTGGCTTGAGTCAGACGCACTGCAGCCTTTAAGTGAAATTAAACGTGTGTGTGTGTGCTGCTGTTGTTGGTATTGTTGTTAGGTCCCGTCAAGTCAGAACTGACTCATAGCTGACCCTCCAAATGGGTTTGCAGAGAAGGAGGTTGCCCATGTCTTCATCTTTCTATCATGTGGCAAGCAGTGTAGCTTCTTAATCCTAGGCCAGAAGAGCACTGTATTCGTGGTTCGAATCTACCAACTGCTCAGCAGAAGGATGGGCAATCTCCTCTCATGCAGTTTATTGTCTCTATAAACCCACTGGTGCATCAACTATGGGTGGCTTCTGATGTCACACAACAACAACAACAACAAAACAACAAAGCTAAAAAGGATGCAAAAATAGCAAGCAGGGAATGCAGAGTTATTTTATGAATTAATTTTATTATTATGGTTCAAGTTGAGAAATGAAGCTTACCCTCATTTCTTGATAAAATTTAAAAGTAATAAATAAAACCAAAACCTCTGGCCAGGCTAGGAGTAGACAGACAGCGGTGCTGTCCTCCATTCTACCCTCTGCCTGCCTCCTCCCTGCCCTCCCTTCCTGCTCACATTCTTGGGGCTGCAGGCCACTCCCTGGCCTGGATTCTGACCTGAGAACCTTGATGACTCCCTTTCCAGGTTCCTTCCTCTTCCTCCTCATCTGATGGGCAGGCTGGGAGAGTGGCCCAGACAAGGCTGTGGGGTTGGTGTGCATATTATTGTCAGAGATGTGTCTTTGGTTGCATGTGTGTCCTGGGCTCTGAGAGTGAGGATCTCCCAGGGACTTCCGGGTGTGGTGATGACATCCTAATCCCCCAGTTCTCTGCTTAATTCAATTCGCCACTCTTGTCTCATCTGTAAATGGGAATAAGGTTACATGTGTGTCCTGGGCTCTGAGAGTGAAGATCTCCCAGGCACTTCCAGGTGTGGTGATGATATCCCAACACCCCAGTTCTCTGCTTAATTCAATTCACCACTCTTGTCTCATCTGTAAATGGGAATACTATGGCCATTTCCCATTGGGCAGGGTTGCAATGAGGTTAAATGAGTTTAACAGACAATAAATGTAATGATTATCATTTTACCCCAGAGGTGATTGAAATAAGTGCACAGGTATTTAAAATGGTACGTAGGTGTGTCCCACTTGCCAGGAACCCTCTGTGCAACCTTGAGTGAATCACTAGACCTCTCTGTGCCTCAGTTTCCTCATCTGTAACAGACGTATCTACTTCCTTTGGTGGATATGGAGATGAAATTCATTGTCCCACCCCAGGAATTATATGTCACGTATGACATGAGTCAAAGTTGGATGATAGGTATTGTCACTGGGATGAGAGTGTACAGAGCATGAGTGTCTGTCAGCATCTATGTCCATGTCTTGGGAATTTAGGACAGGGAGTGCCTAGGAAGACTGGGGTGATGTTGGATGATGGATGGTGTCTCTTTCTTCATCTGTATAATCTGTAAACAAAGCACCTTGTAAAAGGTTGTTGTGTGGATGTAATGGGCTCCACACGTTTGCTGTATCTTTCCTTTAAAAAGTTCCAGTAGTAGAACCCACTTCATTGTCATTGTTTGTTGTCGTTAGGCGCTGTGGAGTCAACTCCAACTCATAGCGACCCATGCACAGCAGAACAAAACCCTGCCAGGTCCTGGGCCTTCCTCACCTCCACCATGCTTGCGTCCATTGCGGCAGTCACTGTGTCAAGCCATCTCCTTGAGGGGCTTTCTCTCCTTAGCTGAATTTTTACTTTTCCAACCATGAACTGGGCCAGGGACTGGGCCGCTCCATCCGAGATGAAGTCTCACCAACCTCACTTCTAAGGAGCACTCTGGCTACACTTCTTCTAGGACAGATTTGTTAGTTCGGAAAGAGTTAATATGTAAGTGTTTAAAACAGTGTCTGGCTGCAGAAACCCTTCTGTGGGGTGGTGGTTATTGATAATCTCAGGGTCTGTTTCATCTGAGTCAGGTGTGGGATGCGGCCGTGGGTATCTGGCCCTACAGGTTCCTCCGCCACCCACTTCCTCCACACCCCAGCCTGCCACCCCATTATCTTCCCCACTTCCAACTCTTCATGAACTGTGAGGAAGGGGGTCTGGCAGTTCTGAGAACCTGGGTGGCATTGCTGCGGCCCTCTCTGGGGTCCTGGATTCCTGCACATGGTGACCTCTGACTTGGAGATCTCTCCTCTGCCCTTGGTTTCCAGGACAAGGAATATCAAGGTCCTGTGGGTGTGTACCAAGGAGGAGGTGGAGAGGAAGAGGCATGAACTCCACTTGCCACCCTACAGCTCCCCCTCCCATCTAAACCCTCACCCCCTCCTGAGAGGCCAGAGGGAGTGCACAGAGGGGCTTCATTAATTCATCTCTTAATCCAGCCAGCCGGATCTTTACGAGGTGGACAAGCCTCATTAGAGAGCACTCAGGCCGGCTTTAATCATCTGTCACGCCTCCCTCACAGGCCCAGCACGTGGGCCCTCATCTGGCCCTTGGGGAATTGGGACAGGAAATCTGGGAACCCGAGGGGAGGGCTGGAGCCGGGACTCCTGGGTCTGAGGAAAGAAGAGCGGTTGATGGAGTCTGAAATCCTGAGTGTGGGAGGAGGGGGCGGAGGCGGGCCAAAAGCCCGGGTCTGGAGGAGGAGGGCGGGCTTGGAGGTCTGAGGGAGGTGCGGCTTCAGACCTGGATCACACCCCTCCTTTCTATCCCAGCTCGGGGAGCCCCTCCTCCTTCCTCCCCAGTTAACCTCAAGCCCTACCGAGCTGGGAATAGTCGCCCAGACCCGACTGATGGCAGAACTGCGGGTGGAGTGCGCGCTGGGCAGCGGGATGGAGGCGGACGAGGGTCCCCCCGAGCCGGCCCTGCCGCCATCCCCGCCGTCGCCGCCGTCGCCTGCGTCCCCCGAGCCCCCTGCGCTCCCCGAGCCCGAGCTGCCATCGGAGGCGTACGCGCGGCAGCTGCTGCTGGAGGAGTGGGGACCCCCCGGCGGGAGCCTGCAGCTGCCCACGCACCTCAGCTGGAGGCTCATCTTCCTGCGCAGGCCGCTCTATCGCAACCTGCTGCGCTCGCCCAACCCCGAAGGTGCCCACTCTGACCCTCGGTCTCTTCTTTCTGCCCCAGGCTTCCACGTCTCTCGCGCGCGTCTCAGTCTATTTCTCTCCATTCTTACCTCCTTTTCTATGGTTGTCTCTCTCCTGGCGACACTCCTGGCTGTCTCTATGCCCGTGTGCCTGTGTCTCTTAGGTCTTACAGTTTGTTTTCAGGGTTATCGCACTTGTTTGCCAGTTTGCTGTGCTGTAGTGGCTGGCGGCGTTGTGATGTGGGAAGCTGTCACTGCTACTTCAAATGCCAACAGGGGTCTCTTGACCACTCTGTCTCTTGTCTCTCAGTAACCGCATCACCAGCCTCACCTCGTATCTCTCATCCCTGCCACCCCCATGCCTCCTCCGCCGGCCTCTACCTCCCTGCCCCTTTCCCCATATTCTCACAGCTCTCTCTGGAGGGAGGTGGAGGGGTTGACGCACCTAGTCTGGCCTGGGGAGGGGGCACAGACTCAGCGAAGCTGAAGGCCAAGGAATGGTGGGAGGGGTGTGTGCACGTGCGCACGTGGAGGGTGGTGGGACCCTGGCCCCGCGGGACCGCGCGCGCGTGGAGGATGATGGGGACCTTGGCCCCGCGGGACGGCGCGCGCGTGGAGGGTGGTGGGACCCTGCCCCACCTCCCCCCACCCCCGACGGCGCTCGCCTTCGTTTCAGGCATTAACATCTATGAGCCAGCGCCCCCTAGCGGCCCAACGCGGAAGCCCCTGGAGGCGCTTGGTGAGTGGGGGATGGGGACGGACAGCCTGGGGGAGGGCAGCGACCTTTCCTACCGCAGGGCCCTAACCCTGTGCTCCTTCACTCACAGGCAATTTCCGAGGGTGGTTCATTAGAACCGAGGCGCTCCAGGCTGACCGCAGGTGAGTCGCCAGGGCTCCTGAAACAGCGTTTAAAACCCACCTACAGTCTTCTGTGCTGTGGAACCTGGAGAAACTGACTTGTACTTTTTGGACCTCAGTTTCCCAATCTATAAACAGGGTTAGTCACAGAAGGAAATGCTCATAAAGCCCACAGTGTAGGGTCCAACTCATTAGGTGGGACAAATAGGCAATGAGCTAGTGCACAGAAGAAAAGATAGGAGATCAGAGCCCTTGTTCTCCGCCCCGCGCCCATGGGAGGTGCCTCAGAAGAAAACCCTGCCTGATGATCCATTTCTGAAAAACTGGCCATTGAAAACCCTGTGAAGTGCGGTGTCACTCAGACTTACATGAGGTTTAAGCACTTTGATGTAAATAATCTACGTACTTAGAGTAATAGTTATTGTTGTTGTTGTTATTATTATTATTATTATTATTATTACTATTATTATAAATCTCTGGTAGCTTTGTAGTAAGGAGTTGCACGGCCAACCCGAAGGCACGCAGTTCAAAGCTTCTGGTGAGAGAAAGAGGGGCAATCTCCTATGCGACTTACAGCCTCTGAAAAGCCACTAGAGGATCAGCTATGAGTCAGTTCTGACTAGAAGGTATATCACAACAAAATAAAAAATTATTATTATTCTAGAGAGTTCTGGAGGCATAGCTGGCAGGAAGCTGCATGGCTGAGCCAAAGGCCACATGCTTCCGTGGTTTGAATCTGCCAGTGGCCTCTTCCTGTGTGATATCCTCAGAATTCATAGACGGGCTGCTATTTCAGAAGTGAATGGTCAGATCTGCTTCTTAGTGTGGAAACACCTCTGAAACTGGTCCACCACGGGTGACTCTGCTGACATTTGAAGTACTGGTGGCATAAGCTTTCAGTGTCCCAGCAATACAAGCTATGGCAGGCAGCACAGCAAACTGCCAGACAAGTGCTCTGCCCAGGAGAACAAACCAAATGAGCAAACAGATATCAAAAAACGACGGGAAATTAAAAAACCCAACATTCTCAAGGCAAGATATGGCAACATTCCCTCTGTTGTTCATAGCATCACTATAAGTTGTAGTTAAGTCAATGGCTTCTAACAACAATCACATCATCATCATCGTTATGATTACTCTTCACTCATATTTCAACAGACACTGGCCTGGATGTGCTCACTAAGTTGTGCCAAGAAATCTGGAGAACAGCTAACTGGCCCACTGACTGGAAAAGATCGTTATTTGTTCCCTTCCCAAAGAAAGGTGACCCAACAGAGTGTGGAAATTATCGAACAATATCATTGATATCACATACAAGCAAGATTCTGCTAAAAATTATCCAAAAACGTTTGGAACAATATGTCAACAGAGAACTGCCAGATGTGCAGGCTGGATTTAGAAGAGGTCGTGGTACTAGGGATAGTATAGCTAATGTTAGATGGATCTTAGCAGAAAGCAAAGAATACCAGAAGAATGTCTATCTGTGCATCACTGACTATGCAAAGGCTTTTGACTGTGTGGATCACAACAAGCTATGGCTGACTCTGAGAAGAATGGCAATCCCAGAACATTTGATTGTGCTAATGCAAAACTTATACTCGGACCAAGAGGCAATTGTCAGAACAGAGCAAGGAGACACTACATGGTTCAAAATCAAGAAGGGGGTTCATCAGGGATGTATTCTGTCTCCATACCTTTTCAATCTGTATGCAGAACAGATCATCCGAAACGTTGGGCTATACGAAGAGGAATGTGGCATTAGGATTGGTGGAAGAATCATCAACAACCTGCGTTATGCATGCAGATGACACAACTCTGCTTACTGAAACTGAGAAGGACCTGAAGCGCTTACTGCAGAAGATCAAGGACTACAGCCTCCTATATGGACTGAAGCTCAACATCAAGAAAACAAAGATTCTAACCACTGGGCCAATTAGCAGCATCAGTATGGATGGTGAAGAGATTGACATAGTTAACAGTTTTAGTTTACTTGGCTCCACAGTCAACACTCTTGGTAACAGCAGCCAGGAAATCAAGAGATTAATGGCATTGGGAAAGTCAGCTGTGAGGGACCTCTCAAGAGTACTGAAGAGCAACGATGTCAGACTGGAGACTAAAGTGTGCCTGATCCGGCCTATAGTCTTCACAATTATGTGCTATGCATCAGAGAGTTGGACAGTGAATAGGGTTGATAGAAAGAGAATGGATGCCTTTGAGCTGTGGTGCTGGAGAAGAGTGTTGAATATACCATGGACTGTTAGGAGAACAAACAGGTTTGTCCTGCAGAGGGTGAAGCCAGAATGTTCCCTGGAGTCAAGGATTCTGAAGCTTCGTCTGACATATTTTGGGCATGTTGCAAGGAGGGACTGGTCCTTGGAGAGGGACATCATGTTTGGCAGAATGGAGGGGCGGCGAAGGAGAGGAAGACCTTTGATGAGATGGATCGATTCTGTGACTAGAGAGGTGGGAATAAGTGCGTTTGAGATGGCTAGGTTGGCACAGGATAGAAGAGCATATAGACCTCTTGTACATAGGGTCACTATGAGTCGCAAGCGACTCGATGGCACATAACAACAAACAACATTGCCCTGGGAGAGGAAGAGTTACCAGCCCATCAATGACCCAGGCCCACATCCTGCACGGTGGACTGGAAGATATGACTATGTGGCTTAGAGGCTAGAACACCCAGGTTCAGATTTCATCTCTGGCCTCTGCTGTCTGATCCCAGAAAAGCCATTTCTGTCTTGACTTTCGTCTGCAAGTAGCAGTCAGAATGCCTCCTCAGAGGACCTCACGAGACCTGAGACTGGACAGTGCCCAGGGTGCCATCAGCATGATGTGTGTTGTGCCAGTGATGGATGTGACAATAACCAGCCTCTCTTTTCGCAGCTGGACAGTGAAGCAGCAGTGTGTGGACCTCCTGGCCGAGGGCCTGTGGGAGGAGCTTCTGGATGATGAGCAGCCGGATATCACCGTCATGGACTGGTATGGGCGGTGCACAGGGGTCCCCCAGCACAACCTCCCCTAACCTCCCACTGCACGGCCTGGCCGTGCCCTCCCTAGTCCCTTCTTTCTTGAAATATACAGGCCCTGCCTGTTATGGGTGCCTGCCCCCCCTCTTCACCTTGCCCCGTCCTCTCTTCCTGCTATTCCCATACCAGCCCTGCTGTCACTCTTGAGTAGCATGTCTATCTCCTTCACTGGACTGGGAGCCCATGAGGCAGACATAGTTTTTCTGTCTTGGTCATCACGATGTTGTCAGCCCAAGGCTGTCCCAGGGTGGACACCGTGAGTGTGTGGAGTTGATAATGGGGTCAAGGCTTGAGGCTGGGTCGTTAAGGTTGCATTGTGGTAGCTGAAGACCTGGGCCACCCCCAGGTACGAGGACAGTCGTCTGGACACTTGTGTCTATGAGCTGCATGTCTGGCTGCTGGCTGCTGACCGCCGCACGGTCATCGCGCAGCACCACGTGGCCCCTCAGGCCTCTGGGAGAGGCCGTCGTGGTTGCTGGCTCCAGGTGAGAACCCTAGCCTTGTGTTCACAGAGGTAAGGTGGGAAGCGAGGTTTCTGAGTCCCTAATATCTTCCTAACTCTGGGGGTGCCACAGGTGTCCCACGTGTTCCGCCAGTATGGCCCCGGCGTGCGCTTCGTCCACTTCATGCACAAGACCAAGAACCGAATGGAGGCTGGTGGGCTGCTTAGGACCCGGGTGACTGACTCATCCGTGTCTGTGCAGCTGAGGGAGTGACTGCACTGGGGCCTGCTCCGATCTCGGTTTACATCTGCTCTGCTCTCTCAGTATGGCCCTGATGATTTAGCCCCTCCTCGTTCTCTTAGCCCCTCTTCAGCCGCTTAGCTCCTCCCCACTGCCTTGGCTCCGCCCCATTCTCTTAGCACAGCCCTGACCCTTTAGCTCCGCCCCCATTCTCTTAGCACAGGCCTGACCCTTTAGCTCCACTCCCGTTGCCTTAGCACCACCTGATCCTTTAGTTCGCCCCCATTCCCTTCGCTCCTCCCTGGCCCTCTAATACCTTTATAACCCCTCAGCATCTCCTCAATTGTTTATTACCTACTAACCACCTTCATGTCTGCCTGGGTTTCTTATTTGACATCTTTGCACATCCTTAAAGGTCTGACTCTAGCACATCCTCCCTACATTCTCCAACTTTCGGGAGTGCAGGGACCACGATTCAGTCTTTGAAAAAGAAGTCTTGGGTTTAATAAATTTTGATTGAGTTAATGAGCAATATACATGCCTTGACGTTTTCCTGGTCTCTGCTCCTAGAGCTTCGCTCTCTCACATCCCATTAGTTGCAGCCTGAATTCTTGGTCCCCAGCACCTCTCACAGTCCCTTTCCCTTATCCCTTGACCTCTGATGTTTTCACACCCCTCACCCATGACTTAATTAATTAATTTTTAATTAATTCTTGGAATCCCCTCTTCCTAACCCAAGTTGTCACTCCCCTATAACTGTTCCCACACATCTATGCTCCCTAAGACCCTTCATCCTCTTTCTTTAGCTCCCCTAAAGTTCTTAAACTCATGTATCTATGAACAGTTTTCATCCCAAATGTGAGAAAGGAATGGTTTGGTGGCCCTGTAATTTGAACAGAAATATATAAATGTGGTTATGGTGTTACTAGGGAGGAGAGCGATGAAAGAGTTTAACAATCTCTTGGGCCTGGCCTTGGTGGCATTGTGGTTAAACACCACACTGCTAACTGGAAGGCAAGCAGTTCTAACACACCAGGATTCTAACACACTGAGGGATTCTGTTTCTGAACAGGTTCTAACCTTGGAAAATCTGTGGGTCAGTTCTAGTCTTCAATCTAGTCTGTTGTTGGTATGTACGATCAGGTTGCAACTGACTCACAGCTGACCTCCAGCAGGTTTTCAGAGACAGTATACTTTGCATGAGAGGAGATTGCCCATCTTCTCCCACAGAGCAGCTGGTAGATTTGAACTGCATGCCTTCAGGTTGCCACCTTAGCTCCTTATCCCTAGGCCACCAGGGTTCTTATGAGGCAGAACTGACGTGACAGCAGTGGGGTAAGGCTCACTGGTTAGGAATCCATGAAGGAGCCCTGGTTGCATAGTAGGTTAAATGTTGGTCTGCTCATATAAGATCTGCTGTTCAAATCCACCAGCCCCTTCTTGGAGAAAAATGAACAGTCCCTATTAAGTTTTATAGCTTCAGAAACCCAATGGAGGGTTACCATGAGACTGAATCAACTCAAGCTGATGTTGAGTCCCTGAAAGGTACTTCTGCAAAGGCCATGAAAACCAATGGATCACAGCTCTGCTCTCTAACACATGGAGTCAGCAAGAGTCAGAATCAACTTGATGACAGTTGGCTGGTTGGTTGGTTACTGCTTGGATTCCAGCCAAGTCATTCAACAGGCCCAGACCCTCCTCCAGGCCAGATCCTGCATGGTTACTTGCTGTGCCTGACATTAACCTTTTCATTGCCGAATCATGAATTCTGTGGGACTGAGTCCTGTGAACGTCAGGGCAAGTAGGGGATGGGCATTCAGGGAAGCATTTGCTGTATCAGACAATCAATCAACATGCTGGTTGGATACCCACTATAAATCTTTTCTTCTGTGGCTGTGTACCTGTACACATCTGTGTCAGAATCACTGGTCATGTCCCCATCTCGGCATCGTCCCAGCCATGGGCTGACACCCAGACTTGATCTCCCTGCTGCCCACCCCACTCCACTCTATACCCCTGGTCCCATGTGGACTTGGGTCCCAAGCACAAGCAGATGGCAAATGGGGACAACTTTAGAAGTTTAGTATTGCAGGGAATGTAGAGTTGGGGAGGGAGGGAGACAGAAGGCTTTCTCTTGAAGCTTAGGCACTCAGTAGCCCCCAGGGTCAGGTGAGGTCAGGTGAGGGGCCCACTACTGTGTGGGGTTTGAGGATAAGGGATGTTCAAGGCATCAGTTGCATCTGCAATAGAAGCAAAAAATTGCCATCAGTGCATGCTTTCTGAAGAGATCCCAAGTCTGGGGGCTTCTAGAAGGCTGAGGGTGTAGGGGTGGGGGAGTCTGGGTCTGAGGCTACAAGTTTAGGAGCTGGGGGCTTACTCTGGGGGGTTTGGGACAGGTTTGAGGGGACAGGAGCGCCAAGGCTGGATCTAAGGGACTGGGACTATGAGCTTAAATAGATGAGTTTGTGTGATCCAGAAATCTGAGTAGGATTTGTGGGACTGGCTTCAGGAACTAAGGCTGAGAACATACAGACGTGCCCAGAATTAGGCTTAGGCAATGGAGGTGTGGGTGCCTTTAGTCTGAGCGCCTTGGGATCTAGGAGATTGGGCTGATTGAAGCTGGCTTTATCTCTGGGGGCTCCAATATAAAAAGTCTGGTGAGCTAGACTTCGGGACTTAGAATTACATTGTCCCCTCGGAAGGGTGGTGGGTAGGTGATTCTAGAAGGTTGTGGGCAATCAAAAAATAAAGACTGAATGTTGAGTCAGCCTCCAAGCGTGGGAACCCCAAAGCTGTATCTGGGAGATCCCAGGGACACAGGCAGGAGGCTTGGGTGTGGACAGCCTCTAGGGTCTCCCACTTTGAGTCAGAGATCTGATCAGCTCTGGATGCGGATCAAGGGGCGCGGGGTGGGCGACGACGCGGCGGCACCTGCAGTAGAGTGCAGAGATGGCGTTGGCCCAGTTTCCGAAGATACCCCGGCGGTACTCCTCCAGGCGCGGGTAGGTTCCGGCTGAGAACTTGCGCGTCTTTCCGCCCTTGCCGCGGAGAGACCACACCGTGAGCTCGCAGCGCTGGGCCACCACGAGCGAGGACGCGGTGTTGGCCCAGTTGGAGGGCAGGTAGGGCAGGTCGGCGCCGGGCTCCAGCGACAGCTCGGCGCCGGCGCAGCAGTTCTCGTAGTAGGGGTCGCTCTTGTCATAGAGCTTGGCGCACGTGCGCGTGCCGTCTGCGTTCTTCAGGTCGGCCGGCACCGGGCAGGCGCCGCGGACGCCCGGGGCTACCACGAGCGCCAGGATCAGCAGCAGCGGGCACAGTGGGGCCATGATGACGCTGCGGGGCCTGTCCGCCCGCGCGCTTATAGGAACCTGAGCCGTGGGAATCGAGAAGCTGCGAGATAAGGAGCCCGGAGAGGGAGGGCGCTCTACCCCCCCCCCCCCCCCCGGGAGTTGGAGCCGTCCAGCCAATCGATGAAACTAACACAAGATAGGAGTCTTTTCATAGGAACAGCTTACCTTTCAGAGTGTCAAACAACGGAAGAAAGCAAGTCAACAGGGTACCACGTAGGAAAAAACAACAACCCACATCAAACTCTTAAAAACGGACAAGGACTCAAAGGAATCAAATCTCCTTCTTTAATAAAGGGGGAGGTGGGAGAGGCTGAGCAGATCCAGGAGCAGAGGCTTTGGGAAAAATGGGAGAGGAAAGGGAGGCTGAGAAGCAGGGCTTGGATGGCATGGGAGCAGAGGGGTGGGGAGGGAGCCAGTCACTCCCGTGGAACGGGACAGCTTTGTAGAATGGACAGCAAATTCAAACCATGCCAAGCCCACTGCTGCCAAGTTCGTTCAACACCTAATGACCCTTCTTTTGGTTTCTGAGGCTTTACATCTTTACTGGAGGGGGCTTCTCATCTTTCTTCTGCGGAGCAAATGGTGGATTTGAACTGCTCACCTGCTGCTGCTGGTGGTTATTATGTACCACCCAGTCAGAGCCCCTACCCCCACCCCCAGTAAGAGGCAGTAAGTCATCTCCCTCCGAAGAGCAGCAGCTGGTGGATTGGAGCAGCGACAGGGACCTTCGGGTTGGCAGCACAACTCCCTGTCACTGGGCCACCAGCATTTGCTCACCTGTTGATTTGCACTCCTTACTTTTCATACTACACAACCAGGGCCCCTTTCACCAAACTTAGACCACGCCCTCCAATAAAGAAAAGAAAAAAAAATCCATGCTTCTTGGGTTTCTGAGGCTGTAACTTAAGTGGAACTGTTGTCATGTGCCCTGGAGTTGCAACCTACTTGTGGCTGAGCCTCCAGCAGGTTTTCAGAGGCAGAAAATCACTGGGAGAAGATTGCCCATCTTCCTCCCGAGTGAGGAGAGTGAGTGCCCTCATCTTTCTCCCCTGTAGCTGGAGATAGAATGATTGAATTTTGTACAATCAATGACTTATTCATTGTAAATACGTTTTATAAGAAACATAAATGCAGGTTATACACATAAGTTTCACCTGATGGTATGCATAGGAATCAGATCGATTACATCTGCGGAAAAAAATCAATGGAGAAGCTCAATATCAGCTGTGAAAACTAGGCCAGGAGCTGATTGTGGAACAGACCACCAACTACTCATATGCAAGTTCAAGCTGAAACTGAGGAAAATCAAACCAAATCCACAGGAGCCAAAATATGACTTTGATTTCATCCCACCTGAATTTCAGAATCATCTCAGGAACAGGTTTGAGGCTTTGAACACTAATGAGCGAAGACCAGATGAGTTGTGGGAGGATGTCAAATGTATCATCCAGGAAGAGTGCAAACGGTCATTACAATGACAGAAAAGGAATAAAAGACCAAAATGGATGTCAGAAGAAACTCTGAAGATTGCACTGGAGCACAGAGAAGGCAAAGCACAAGGAAGAATTCAAGATACTAAAGAGCTGAACAGAAGATTCCAAGAGGCAGCTCGGAATGACAAAGCAAAATATTACAATTAAATGTGTGAGGAGCTAGAGTCGGAAAATCAAAAGGGTCGAACTTGTTCAGCATTTCTTAAGCTCAAGGAACTGAAGAACAAATTCAAACCTAGAGTTGCTATAATCAAGGATTCTTTAGGCAGAATATTAAATGATCCAGGAAGTATTAAAAGAAGATGGAAGGAATATACTGAGTCATTGTATCAAAAGGAATTGGCAGATACAGAAGAATTTAATGAAATAATATATGAGCAAGAGCCTATGGTGATGAAGAAAGAAGTTCAAGCTGCTTTGAAGGAAATAGCAAAAAATAAGGCCCCAGGAATAGATGGTATACCAATTGACATATTTCAGTTAACAGATGCTGCCGTGGACGTGCTCACCAAGTTGTGCCAAGAAATCTGGAGAACAACCACTTGGCCAACTGACCGGAAGAGATCTATATTTGTTCCCATTCCAAAGAAGGGTGACCCAGCTGAGTGTGGAAACTACAGAACAATATCATTAATTTCACATGCAAGCAAGATTCTACTGAAGATTATTCAAAAATGACTGGAACAGCACATCAGTAGAGAACTGCCAGAAGTCCAGGCTGGGTTTAGAAGGGGTCGTGGTACTAGGAATATTGTAGCTGATGTTAGATGCATCTTAGCTGAAAGCAGGGAATACCAGAAGAATGTCTATCTGTGTTTTATTGATTATGCAAAGGCATTTGACTGTGTGGATCATAACAAACTGTGGCTGACTCTGAGAAGAATGGGAATCCCAGAACATTTAATTGTGCTAATGCGAAACCTATACTTGGACCAAGAGGCAGTTGTTAGAGCAGGGTAACACTGCATGGTTCAAAATTGGGAAGGGTGTACGCCAGGGATGTGTCCTGTCTCCATACCTTTTCAACCTGTATGCAGAGCAGATTATCCGGGAGGCTGCACTCTATGAGAAGAATTGTGGCATCAGGATTGGTGGAAGATCTATTAACAATCTGCATTATGCAGATGACACAACCCTGTTTGCTGAAACTGAGGAGGACCTCATGCATTTGCTGCAGAGAGTCAAGGACTGCAGCCTTCAGTATGGACTGAGGCTCAATGTCAAGAAGACAAAGATTTTCACCATTGGACCAATTGGTAGCATCAGGATGGATGGCGAAGAGATTGAGATTGTTCACAGCTTCAGTTTGCTCAGCTCCACGGTCAACACTCTCGGTACCAGCAGTCAGGAAATCAAAAAACATATTGCGATGGAAAAGTCTGCTGTTAGGGACCTCTCTAAAGTACTCAAGAGCAACGGTGTCTCTCTGGAGGCTAAGGTGCACTTGATACAAGCCATGGTCTTTTCAATCACTTGTTATGCATCAGAGAGTTGGACAATGACTAGGGAGGACAGAAAGAGAATTGATGACTTTGAGCTGTGGTGCTGGAGAAGAGTATTGAATATACCATGGACTGCCAAGAAAACAAACAGATTCATCCTGGAGAGGATTAAGCCAAGCAACTCCTTGGAGGCAAGGATTCTGGAACTTCGTCTAACATACTTTGGGCACGTTGCAAGGAGGAACAGGTCCTTGGAGAGGGTGGAGGGTTATCATGCTTGGGAGGGTGGAGGGACGGGGCAAGAGGGGAAGACCCTCTATGAGATGGATTGATTCAGTGACTGGGGTAATCGGGATGGGTGTGTCAGAGGCAGTGCGATTGACACAGGGATAGAGCAATATAAGGTTGCTATGAGTCGCAAATGACTCGACAGCACATAACAACAACAACAATCGGTGGATTTTTTGCAACACTGAGGACTGCATAGAGTTCATGGTTAGACTACATTAAGTCACACTCCAAGCTCCCTCTTAGACCCACATCCAAGGGTCAGAAGTCATGCTCCAAGCTCCTCCTGACTCACACTTGTGCTTGAAGTTTGGCAAGTTTCTCCTGATTCATGATGGCTTCTTTTGTCTTGTCAGAGAGGAAATGGGGCCGCACAGGGGACTAGGGCTAGCACTCAGGGGCAATTGAGCCCAAGACTGGAAATCAAAACTTCTAAGGTTGATGCATCCAAGATTGGTAGGCAATATGGCAGCCTAAAGAATAAATAGAGGTCAGATGGTGACAGGTCCAGGTGGAGCAAAAACCAAGAGAGTTCTGTCAGACAACCAGAAATTTTACACAAGCCACTCAAATTCCCTTTCAGCTGGCTACTCAAAACAGATCTCATCATGCAGGTGATAATGTCTCAGCAAGGAAATGATTACATGGTGTCAGATCTCATCAAAGGAAAGACTATATCGTAATGGACAAACCACAGGATCATGGACAGTCAACAGTTGACTTACAAACTTAACCGTTGCACATGGGATTGTTGAGAGGGGCCAGTGCCTGGAGAAAGACATCATGAAATCAGAGAGTCGGGTGAGATATAAGGCTCTCAAAAAGATGAATAATTTTCAATCTAAATAAATATACTGGAAGCAGGAGCGGCATCAACTTCCAAAATGGCTTGCCTCCAGAAACTCGATGTATGAACAGTGCTCAGGCCTTTCGTTTATGGGGTCGCTATGAGTCGTCTACGACTCGACGGCACCTAACAACAACAACAACAACAAATAAATATATATAAAAAATGGATTGACAAAGTGGCTGTAGCAATCGGATTTAAGCACAGCAGATTCTGAGGATGCGGAGGACTGGACAGTGCTTGATTCTTTTGTGCATAGAGTCACAAGGAGTCAGAGCCAATTTAACAATACCCAACGACATCAGCATAGAAAGTGTGAGGGTTAAGGGAACAGCCTGGCTCCTACCTGCCATCTTACGTCCCCTCGTGTGCAGCCTAGCTCAGCTGGTCTGCCAAGGACCCTCTGAGTGACGGCCCTAGTGCCCCGCATGGCCCCATTTACTCTCTGACAAGATGAAAGAAACCATCATGAATAAGGAGAAACTTGCCAAACTTTAGGCGCAAGTGAGCATTGATGGAGAAGGAATTGCGCTCAGAAAGAAGGTGGTTCATAGAACAGCTACAGCAGGTGACAAAAACCTTCAGTTCTTCTTAAAGAAATTAGGGGTAAACAATATCTCTTGTATTGAAGAGGTGAATATGTTTACAAATCAAGGCACAGTGATCCACTTCAGTAATCCTAAAGTCCAGGCATCTCCGGCAGTGAACACTGTCACCCTAACCACCACACTGAGCCAGAGAAGCTGACAGAAATGTTAGCCAGCATCTTTTTTTTTAAGTGTTATCTTTTTTTTTCTATAATTATATTTTATTAATTTTCA